CTTTGTATTGAATTAGAGACAAGAAGAGAGAGAGAGAGAGGTGGGACGTTTAAGAATATTTATTTTCTAATTTTTCAAAACAATCACCAGGACTAACTCTCTAATGATGGATGCAGATTAATGTAATGCTGAAGTGTTGGTGTGTGTGTGTCAGTTCAGAATCTCCATCTGGTGGAGGCGTCTGAGTGCGAGATGTTGTTTGCCCTAACTGACCGAAGATGGATTTCAGGAGGAAGACATGAGACGCAATCTATGCCGAACTACGTACCAGACGGAGACTTCCGTGTTAGATCTGGATGCCAGGTCCTGAGACCCTCCTTGTGCTGGAACCGGTAAAACGGCGTCGGCAGTACGACAAACCAGTCTGAGGATCGTCTCTCGGTACAACGGCAGGGTTCAGCCTCACGTAGAGACAGTTCAGCTTTTATTCTGAAGGAACCGTCGTCTGGTTGATAAAACGACAGAATTTTCCAGCTTGACAGTTCTCAGCTTAAAAGTAGAAAATACAGCTGGCCAGTCTGTACTTCACTTAGCGATGATGGACATCAGACGGATTTGAGAGCTGGTTGAACTCACGTTGGAACTACGTTGAAACTTGCGGTGGAACTCGATTAAAATGGCGTTGTTCTGTTTTATTAAGCTTAGTTGTTTATGGTTTTTAGTGAATCGGAGTGGACAGATTAACTAAACACCACAGAACTCAGAGAGGAAGTTCTGATTGGATGAGTGAACAATGTGTCATGTGTTTACCTTATGTGGATCAGGATGTCTAGCTCAGTTAGCCCGAGTCCTGTTATTCATTAAACACATAAACCATAACATTGTGATTTCACAGATCAGTCACCTGATTATTATTGACCAACAGTTGTTTTGATTAGCTTTATTAGAAATAAAGTTCTTTGATTAACTAATGAAAAGTGTTCTTCGTCCTTCTTCTGTCTTCTTTGCTGGATTTTAAACATCAGAAGCAAGCGCACGACCTTGGTAATTTATGCACACTGTCACTGTGTCAAAGGGCAGCTGTTAAGGGCAGAAATGGCATATTCATAATGCTATACGTTGCATTTGTAGTCCTCATTTTCATACACCTTGTGTATTTTTCCAAACAGTGTATGTTGATAGAAGGTTTACTCAGACCAACATCCTCCTTTCGTCTTTTTTTTCTTTTTACTGCTATACAGCACTTTGGTCAGCTGTCATGCTGTTTTTAAATGTGAAGAAGAAGAAGAATAAAGTATAATTTCTATAGCGCCTCTCAAGATAAAAGATAAAAATCACGAGGCGCTTCACAAAAACAAAAAATGTAAAAATATAAAAAAGCATTTAGAAAATGTTTAATAAAAATATATTTAAAATGAGCAAAAATAGGCAATTGTGATTTAAAAAATGTTAAGAAAGAGAGAGAGTGAACAGGAAAGAGGGAAATCAGTGGATCCTGAGGAAGGTGGAATAGGTGGGGAGAGCAGAATAAAGAGAGAGTGGTGAAGAAGGTCACACAAAAGCCTGAACAGGTGAGTCTTCAGCTGCTTTTTAAAGGAGACCACTGAGTCCACTGATCTCAGGCTCAGGGGGGGAGAGTTCCAGAGTCTGGGGGCCACAGCAGCAAATGATCTGTCACCTTTGACCTTTAGCCTGGTGCTGCACAACCAGTAGACTTTGATCACTGGACCTCAGGGACCTGCTGGGGGTGTAGGGACTGAGAAGATCACCAATGTAAGATGGTGCTTGTCCATGTAAGGCCCTATAGACCAGAACCAGGATGTGCTTTATAAATAAACCTGGCATGGTATGGTACTAATTAGCCTGCATTATGTACCCATCCACCTTGTTATGGCATTTTCAGCTTGTTTTGCTTTTGTTTATCTCTCTTCCACACGTTGCATCACACTAGACCGTTGAGGTCTTTTCTGTTGGTTTGAGGCAGTAAATTGTGGCCATCAGTGATGTGTTTGCCTTTAGGTGGTATTTTATACTCTCTGTTGGATAAACCCTACCAGTTCTTCTTCTTATTATTATTATTTTTTTTTTCATTTAAGTCCATGTGAGTGCTGTACCAGGCTTCATCCCACCTTAAATAACCTCATGGGTTAAAACGAGACAGCGTTCATCCCAACCAGTAATGATCAAGATGTCAGTCTTAATGTGACTATGTGTTCATAGCTAATGAGAATCAAACTACATTATAGATGATAAAATACTTGTTAGCATGAATTAATTAACACACATTTTCTAAAATACAAGAACTTAAATGAAATAAACATAAAAACCCAGAGATTGGTATAGGTTGAGTTTGTGGTTCTTGTTAAAGCAGAAACACTAGAAGTAAGCTAATTATTTGTGAGTGGATGTTGATGGATGTCATCAAGTACAGTCCTTGAGGGATCACATCCTGCAAATTTTTGTTGTGTCCTTTGTCCGACACACCTGATTAATAGGCTTTTGCTGACCTGCACATGATGAGGTGATTAAAGCATGTCATTCAAGTGCGTTGGAGCAGGAAACTAGTGAAAACTGTCGTTGGTGACTCCTGGTCCACGAATGCTAGTGCACTGCACATGGCTCTACAGTTTTCACTGCATCACAATTGTAGGTGAAAATGAACAGAAGAAAAACAAATTTTGTGATTTCTTGCCAGAATTTTTTACATTTTACTGTCTTTGTGGTTCCTGACAGATGAATTAACCAAACATAAACAACAATTCTCATCCTCACTCAGTATTTCGCCAATCCAAAATTCCACGTTTCCCCTTTTCTGTAACTGGTTTAACTTGTTGAAGATGTTGTTCATTGTATCGATGACTCCCAAGTTTTAGATGGATGAGTAGGGTGCTGAACCACACTAATGTGGACTGCACATGCTTGTCCTCGGAGGGGCCTGGGCGTCCCTAGCAGACACGTACAATGACCACATTTATGTAATTGCATGTGAACTCGTGGACACTTAAATTCCAACTATTAGGAGGCTTTATTAGTCCTAGCTTCCCCAGTGACAACGAGGGTAAACTCTGCATCTGAAATCTATGATAGTCTCATTAGTCTAATATTTAATTTCTACCAATCAACAAGCTTTACTTTCTCCTACCATCAATCTAGGTTAACGAGAGCTGTGTTGTCTGCACACCTGTGTATGTAGATCTGCTCACTGAAATATTACTGTTTTTTTAAAGCGTCAGAGCATGACACAGCTCTTTCTATAATTTTGGGTTTTTACGTCCTTCCCGACTGTTATAATCTCACCTTTGTCTTACTTGGTTGTTGCAATGCCACTCACCGCAGGGATCTTAAAAATGATGGAACTGGGTTGTAAATAATCTGAGTTTTTCTGCTGTACACCAGTTGAGCTTTGGTCTGGTACCTCTGGAGCAGTTTGGCTCAAGAATTCTGTCAGACACAATACAGGATGACAGGGAGCGCCTCCACAGCGGCGCCCTTGCCCAGACCAATCATCTCGGAGCTGTAATGGTCTCCCTCTGTAATCTCTAGGCTAGCCATTCTTATATGGCAGAGATTGATTCTGCTTGCAAAGGAATTGCTGCAGCTGTATAGTGAATTTGGCCTCTAGCTTTCAGAGTTGTGGTGTGTGGTCAGTTGAGTCCACTGAAGCCTATTATTCTTCTCTTCGGAGGCCACAGAAAAGAGAGAGGGGTATATCCCTTTAAGCACTGAGTCCAGCAACATTTTCACCTCTCTTTGTTCAATTTTGCACAATCTGAGTGTTGAGTCCCCCCACCCACCCACCCCCCCCCCCCCCCCCCCAATGCTTTATAATGTGTTTTTTTTTATGATTAGCAGCTGCTTTAACCCTCTCAGGCTCAAAATAAGTTTTGATAAAAGGACGAACAACTAAGTCCTTCAGGAGTACTTCTGAGTTAAAAAATGCTCATGAGATGCATCATATGTGGAGTAACCAGGTAGGTAGGTTTTAACTGTAGCAGATCTGCCACGCCTGCCTCCAGAGGGTTAATGGCAGCTAGGTGTGCATCTCATCCAGCGTGGCTCCTTAGAATCAGTAGTGCAATTCAAAGTTTTTGTTTGTAAAAGCAGCCTGGTGAGATCAGAAGGATGTTACCTCTGTCTGTATTTCAAGTCTGTCGCCTCCTCCTGTGGCCTCTAGTGGTCCGATACCGTGACTTGGCTCTGCTTGATTCCGCTGCGGTCAACAGAGAGCTGCTCATTAATCTTAGCCGCACTCTGTCCCACTTCTCTCCATAATCTTCTTCCTCCTAATTTCTCTTATCGGTCACACTGACTTTCTTTTGTTTGTGTTTGGAAGGCTTACTCTAGGCTGTTAGCCAAAGGGTGCAGACAGGGTGCAGAGCGGACTGCAGCAGCTTCCCTCCATCCGTCATGAAGCCAGGGGTGGTTTGTCATGCCAGGTTTTGTTTTTTTTTTCTTTTTTTCTTTTTTTTTACTCCAGGCAACTGCTCATTCATTTGCAGGCGATAGATTGTGCTGAGAGTATTGATGGGGAAGCTAATGCTTTTAAATGCAAGATTACACCACATTTAGTAATGATGTTACTTATTGCTGCTGGCTCTGCAAACTGTCGTTTGCCATGCACTCTCTCTGCTGTGTGTTTGCTCAGGCCTTGCACAGTTGTTTCCTTCCTTCTCGCGAATTTCATCCTGTTTCAGCCTGGTCTCTGCACTGCAACTCACTGTGTAGTGTTGCTGAGTAAATGTCAACAAGGCTGGTCCATCCATTTCATCAGCACCCTGATGTCTTTGAAACTATCGGCTGCTGTCAGGAGGTGTCCCGGGGCAATCAATGATGCCCTGTTAAAGTCCCACTGCTCCAAATGCAACATCAAAAACTCTCGTCTGTGCTTCAGCAAAGGGAGTTTTGGAAAACGTAGATCCCTGGTTTTATGTCTGTCACAGGACCCTAAAACACACCGCTGTGTAACACACACTACTGCTGCTGATCCTTTCTTTTTTTATTTCTTTTTTTTTTTTTTGCAAGCTGCTGTCAAATTTGATTTGAATTTTTTTCTGACTCAGATCTTGAAAACTTCAAAACCCAATCGGTGAGGAGTGCTGTCAATGTCCGAGAGGGTCAAGGAGTGGTTCTGTTGTGTGGAGCTCCACCACATTCTGGAGGTAAGATGCAGTTTTAGTCTAAATAATCTTAACATTAGCACACAGCTGTCTTCCTACAGACGTGTTTTTGTTACAGTGACATGTTAGAGCCATTGCATATAGGAACAAACTAGTAAGCTGAGCCTGAGGAGGGTAAATGTATAAAAGATGATCAGTTTTACTGGAACAACCCGCCAAGGTATATTTAGATCTGCTCAGACCTTGAACATTTTAAAAGTTTTTTAGATACTTTTTCTCTTTGGCTTTTATTCCTGGTTGAATGGAACTCCTACTTTTTATCTCATATTTGATTTAGTTTATTTTATTATTATTTTTTTACACAATATATACTCTACAGGTTGTCTGGGCTCTCCCTTACCCCTTCTTTCCACCGGAGCCACCAGCAGCGCGAGTCGACCGCGTCTCAGGAGCAGCATGTCGCGGCCTTTACGCGCCGGTTCTATTTTCTACGTGCGACGCCTCTGAAACGGGTCAAGTTCGACATTTTTGGGGAAGGAAAGACAGGAAATCAGACGCGGAAATGGAGCGAAGCTCTCGAGATTTTCAGAATAAAGAACGTGCTGCCTTCCGGTTGCTTTACTTTTAAAAAAGTTACTAACTGTGCGGCCCCGTGAGAAGTTATCACCTAGCTAGCGGTCTCCTTTGTTTTTCAGGTCCGTACTGGCAATTATAAAACGGACAGAACATAAAACACAAACCTTTTGGAGCCATGTTGTAGTTTTCTCCTGCTTGTTGTTGTGTTTACTGACGAAGTCACTCGTGTGACTTCGTGCTCTGTCGGTGACAGCTGCTCCCCTGCTGCTACGCATCTCGTGGGAAGGGCCAAACAGCAGCTTACGTGAGCAAGACGTGCTGCTGCAGTAACGTGCTGCTGACGGCTCTGGTGGAAAAAAAGGGGTTAGAGATAGGGTGAGAAATTTAGTTACCTGGAAGGGGCTTGGAGTAGACCCGCTGCTCTTCCACATCGAGAGGAGCCAGTTGAGGTGGCTCGGACATCTAGTCAGCATGCCTCCAGGATGCCTCCCTGGTGAGGTTTTCCGAGTATGTCTGAGTGGGAAGACACCTAAAGGTGGACCCAGGACACGCTCGGGGGACTTTGTCTCTCGGCTGGCCAGGGAATGCCTTGGGACTTCCCTGAAGTAGTTGGCCTAAGTGGCTAGGGAGAGGAAAGTCTAAGCCTCCCTGTTTAGGCTACTGCCCTGGCGACTCAACCCTAGATAAGCAGAGCTATGTGTATGTATGTGTGTATGGATGGATGGTTGAATGAATGAATGAATGAATATTTATTATGGATGCACCAAAACGAAAAGTCTTGGCCAAAAGCGAGGAAACCAAGACAGAAAAAAAACTAAAACCTTAACACCAAAAGAAATGATCACGTCAATAATTAGAACCATCACATTTATGGCTATGATGTGTACTAACCTCACTAAAATCACTGCAATAAATCAATTACAAAGCCATGAAAATAGTTATTTAGCACTGACAAAACAACAATTAATTAAAGATGAAAATAAAATGTTTCACTTGACCACACTTGTGTACGTTAAATAATAATAAATTATAAATAAAATAATAAATTATAAATGTACAGCCTTATAACCGAAAGGCCTGCTGAGGACTGTGAAATTAGTCAGAGTCACAATGAGCTACAGCTGAAATTATAATCCCTCATGAAGTCATTACATTAGACTAGAAAATAGTGGAGATGTTTAACTTAAATCTTCCAGTGTTTCCATTGAAATCCCCGGTGAGTTTTATGAAGCAAAGAGCAAGGCGTCACATAAGGGTGAAGCAAGATGAAACAAAATGGGGTTCGCCTCACAGTCTGCTTCTGCCATGTTGTTTTGGTGATTTAGGTGTTTCGGCCGAAAACTGAAAATGCACTTTTTGGTTATTTTCAGATTTCCGGATTCTGGGTGCATCCCTAATTAAAGTTATGTTTTAGGGACAGCAGGAGGTAGAGCGGGTTGTCCAGTAATCAGAAGGTTGCAGGTTCGATCCTGGCTCCCACCAGAGAAGGCTGCTGTTGTGTCCTTGGGCAAGACACTTAATTAGCCTTGCCTGTTGGTGGTGGTTAGAGAGACTGGAGAGGCCTCGCCTCTGTCAGGGCAGCTGTGGCTACATCATATCTCATCCCCACCAGTGTGTGAATGTGTGTGTGAATGTGTGTGTGAATGTGTGTGTGAATGGGTGGATGACTGATTGTGTTGTGAAGAGCCTTGGGGGGTTGTAAGAACCCTATGAAGGCACTATACCAATACAAGCCAGTTACCATTTTTTGGGGCAGACACTTTAGTGTGAAGTAAATTCATGAAGTTGCAAAAAAAAAAAACAGAATAAGATCATGGAACAGCTGAACAGTTTACCTACACAGATGTCGTGTTTGTCCTGTTATTCCTGCATTAGATCTGTTATTACCGCCCGTGTGTTTTACACAAACTGTTGTGTTTATTAACACCACTGTGAATTGCACCCATAAACCCCAGAGCCAGCATCGTTTTAAACTGTTTTATGACTTCAGAAGTAAACGGCAACCGAAAGGCAGCTCTGCTGTTCTGACCCACTTTTACTATATTTCTGGTGATTAAAAAACACACGCCCTGCAGGAACATGTGAGACGATGTGCTCGGGTTTCTAGTTTATCTCATTGCTTATTCAAGTAGAAGTGGAGTCATTTTCCCTAAATTGAACAGAAACTAACTCATCACATTTTCGTTGGTTGTTGTCTCCTTAAGCCTGCTTCCCACCCCTGATGAAAGTGGCCTCTTCCTCTGGCCTGTGGAGAGCCAGCAGTGTAGATCAGGAGTTTAGTTTCACCCTGCTGATCAGGAACAATCAATATAAAAATACTTTGATTACAATCAGGATCCAAAACTTGAGATCAGATTAAACCATCCTTATTTTAGTACAATGCTAACAATCCTTTCACAGTTTGTATCATTTAAATAAAATAGTAAGACAGAGACTTTTTCTAATAATAATTCTAAAGACATTTCCTAATTTGCCTTCTTTGAGGTAGGAAAGTTGATGCTCTCTATCCATTTAGCCTGTAAAGATGAGACTGCTGTTAGCAGGGGCTGCTTTCCTTTCACAGAAAGACTGGAAATAGGTAGCAGGGTGCTGTCAAAAGGTGACAAACCCACAGCAAAACAGCCTCTCTGCAGCTAGCTAATTAACACAGTCTATTGATTTGTTTACTCAGAAGAAAACGTTGTGGTTTTAACAGGGGGGCTACACTCTGGAAATGTAAACCTCTCTGCCTACAACTAAAACCTGCTCCTTCCAAACTCGAGGTTTACAGAAAAGTTAATTAATTGGCTTCACTGAGGAGGAAAGTAGGATTTTTTTAGTCTTCACGATAGCTCCACAGTTTTCAATATGTAGGCTAATGAGCACAGAGCTGTTAGCTGTAATCTTTTATTTTTGCACAGACTATTTCAAAAACGATGCTTTATTTGTTCAAGTGAGGAGCAGGGAGCGTGTTCTGTGAATGAGACGCTACAAATAGAAGATTAAGTTGCATGCTGCACAGTCCCACCACTCTGCATATCCACACAACACCGAGGACATGCACAATGGCTGCTGCCTAGCTTGTCACCCTCTTCATACAATGGTGCGCACATTGGAACAACCAATTTCTTTCACAAGAGAACAGTTTGTGGCAGCGCATTGTGCAGCTGGTCTTTGGGATAATGGGTCAGAGTCCTCTGTGAAATACAGTTTGACAGCTTCCCTCTCTGACACAGGCTTATTCGCGGTGAGGTGCTGTAACCGTAGTGCTTTTGTGTTTCACCACATTTTCAAAAGTGACTGAAAGTAAAGCGGTGCGAGCCCTCCATACCTTTTTTTCCTCTGTCCCCTCGTTTCCGCCTCCGTTTCATCTTCTTTTCCTGCCTTTTTTGCCCTTTCCGTTCCTGAATTTCAAAGCGCCAGTGTGCCTTATAGCCTCACACCAACAGTTGACACATTCTCCTGCTTTCCATTACAACCGATTGGCTTTAAACTGCAACACATTCCTCATCCGCAACCGCAAGGTAACGTCAGACCACCCAGGTGTGAAAAAAGAACCAACATGGTCATGAGTAATTGTTGCAGTGTTGCTTCGGTACTCAACAGATTTTCGTTTATGTAAAATAACCCAGATAATTTTTTTGCACATTCTTTGCATGAAGGCTCTTGTGTTGCATTTAATTCAGCACTTGACAAAGAATTGCTCTGCAAAGTGCTATCGCTGCTCATCAGAGCCACATGGTTCAGTGTGGAGTTCTGCTGACTCTGAGCTACGTGGCGCCTGCTGCCTCATCAGAGGGAGCTTAGTACCTGCGTCGCTGCACTCGCTTGGACGATTCACCCGATCTGAAGCCAAGTGGCTCGTCCACTTGGGCGGAGCTGGAGGTGATTGACAGTTGCTGCGTGCACCTTTTGACTCAGGTCGACTCCTACCTCCCAAAATGTAGTGTGAGGTGGGGAAAAGGGGCCTGATCTTAACTTTGTCTGGTTCAGATACAGTTTTTGAGTAATTTAATGAAAATATTGCTGATTAAGTATACAGATGTTCTAAATCTTTCCTGAAATTTGTAGCTTTTCTACTTATCTTTGTGTCAGTTCAACTTTGTAATCAGCTCCAGCAACATTTGGAGGATGTGGTTCCTGCAGTCATAGAAAGGGAGGAGCAGTCGTCGTGATGCAACGGACAATTATGTGTGGAACTCGAGTGAGAACGTCTGGGAAGATCAAACAAAAAATTCCCAGAGGAGAAACTAAATACAAAAATCTAAGCGAGGTGGCAGGAAATGGCTGACAGAGATAGAGTTTAAACAGGTAGTAAAAAACACATCTGCAGGGTAGGTCGAGCTGTCCCAACCACCTATTCAGCTGAACTGAAGTCAAACAAACTCCTGAAACTTCTGAGACTTAAACAAGAATTTGATCCCAATAATTTATTTTTTGTGCACTCATGAACAACCATTATTGTTTTTCTTTTGACAACAATGACAACACTTTCCTGCATCTGTCTGTTGATCCATTAGTTCCATTGTTTTTTTGTTTTTTGTTTTTTTTTCATGATGCCCTCAAACGAAATCTCTCAGGGACTTGGGGAATGGAGGCCATGCACCAGGGGAGTGCTACTCTTGCACTGTAATCTAGTTTGTTTCGCTCCCTTTCCCCTGATTTCCATTTTTTTCTGCACTATTGGCTCCTCTTACTATCTTCATCTAAGGAAACCTGTAAAATGGACAACACTAATGTCATATGTTAACATGTAAAGGACTCAGTGGAGTCCCTTATGTGATCCATATTGTCAAAGCCAATGTAATGGGTGGAACCAGCTAAGATGTGACAGCGACCCAGCACAGCTTTAACTCAGAGGGTTTTCTTTATTTTCCAGAGCTGACGTTTGCGTGGATTTTCAATGAATATCCATATTCTGTCCAACAAGACAGTCGAAGATTCGTCTCTCAGGAGACGGGGAGTCTGTACATCGCCAAAGTGGAGCCCTCAGACGTGGGCAACTACACTTGTGTGGTTAACAACACTGTCACTAAGGAGAAGGTTCTCAGCTCTCCAACACCTCTGGTCCTCAGGAGTGATGGTAAAAAAAAAGTTATTGTTAGCTTTTCTTTTTTCCTTTTGTATTTTTCTTTGTCACCCTATTCCTAGGATTGTGCAAAATGTGACATTTTGGTTCAGAGGTGGGACTAGGTTTCCATCGAAGATAATGTTTGATGCTATAATGGAGTGAAAAGTAGGAATATTACCTTCTACACCTGAAACAGGGTAAATATATAATTGTATTTTTTCTTTCAGTAGTTAGTGTGTATTTTTCCTGGTGCTAGGGGTTAGTAGATACCTAAATCGTTGCAAGCAAGCTGTATTTTTATGTTGGAGTAAGACCTTACCAATGGATGCCCATTAGGGTCAAAAAGACCGGAGAGTGCAAACTTCAGCAAAATGACAAGCACATCACACTCCTTTTCATCACTGACAATGAGTAAAGAGGTAAATGTATAAAACAACGATGTTTATTAAGGGTGAAAATTTTGCAACCATTTGTTACAAATCAGTAAATGTGCTCAAGTCCTCCCGCTGCTCAAGTAAATATCCTCAAGGGCTCCCGTAGAAGGAAACATGGCACCTAATATGGTGTCGCCCAGAGACTTAGGGTGTTTTTAAATGTCAAGGTGCCTGGCCTTGCGAGGTGATGTCTTGCGAGGCCAGGCACCTTGCTTACGAGGACACTGTCCTTCCTTGGTCAAAGAAAACGGTTAAATGGAACAGACTTGCATCACGTGACCGCGGCTTCCACGGCGGTCACGTCACGTGACACGGGAGACAACATTATATTTTATACGTATTAGTTTTAATATAAATATTTAACAAGCATTTACTTTTTAAATTGTGTATATGTTTAATAAATTAAAAATATAAATGAGTTACTACCTGCTAGCCACCGAAGCTGCAACTACTAAGCAACTAACCAACAATAGATAACATTTTTGGATCTAAAAAAACATTTTTAATTAGTTGAATTACTTTTAAACTTGAAAATTGTCCCCGAAGTAGCTTCCAGCTTCTGATTTGCTGTCCTTTTGAAAATACTGCGGTGTATTCTGGATTATTTTTGACCAAGGCTAGGCTACAAGACACTTCCCGTGTATCCTCGCTCAGCTAGCTAAACGGCTAACAAACGAAGAACACACGCCTTGGTAGAACATGAAAATTGGAACCTGTCTTGGTGTCCTGATGACGTATCTCCTAGGCAACCAGGACGGGGCCAAGACATCAAGGCAAGGTTCCTTGGCATTGAGAAACACCCTTAGACCCACTCCCATGTATTTTAGACCTGATTTTGATGGTTATAGGTTACGAAGCTGCCAATATTTTTCAACAAATGGGCATCATTTTATTTATTTTTAACAACATTTTATGGATATTTCCAGAGATTAACAATAAAAAGTACATTAAAGAAGAACAAGAAACAGCCTCTAATCTTGTATCATAACTAGACAAAGCACCTCTACATACTTCCAGTTCACAAGCATTTGCAAACCATTTTGTGTTTTTAGTCAACATTTAGCCAACTTTTCAACTTTGCCATCGTGTCAGATCCCTCAAGAAACACATCTAATGTTTTTTTTCTGGGATTATTGGCGACTTTTGTAACTCCATTGTGAAAGCATTTATCATTCGTTGGCCTCATTTACACCAAGCATGGAACAGATTTGGATCCGAATTTGTGTTGCAACAGCAAAGACCAAAAGAAAAACATGAAGAGTTGGACGAAGAGTCCAATAAAAGCATTCACACCGGCTGCTGAGCGGAATCTCTCCGCTTAGTATCAGTTTTTTTGTGACGCCACATGCGGATTGTCATTTAGCTGAAGAAATGACATGAGCCAGACAGGAAGTGAATCTGGTTTATTTCAAAATAAAACCAGTGTTGCATCATTCTGTCCAGCTTCTTTTGGTGTCCGTCCATCCTTCTGGAAGCTTTACTCTTTTGACAGAGCAGTAAATGCTGTTGTGAAGCAGTCCTGTTCTGATCAGATCTGTGTCCAGGTTACAAAGAACATTTCCCATGTGAAGCCACTGCAAACTGATCTTGCACTTGCTTACTGTATAGTCACTCCAAAACAGACAGACAGACAGATAGACAAAAGCAAGATAATGAACTGGAATTGACACAAATAAAGATGGCTTGTCACAGTTTATTAAACGTACTGCGGTTGTTTGTCACAGTCTATTCTGAGGTCATTCTCTACTTGGTACAGTTAATGTGACCCTTGTGATTAAAATGTTCTTTGTTACAAACATCAACAGGAATGGAAGAACTGCCTCATGTAGTTTAATGCAGCCATCAAATAGTGGCAAATTGCTGAGCTGGTACTTTCACTTAAATAAAAATACCAGTTCAGCAATGTAAAAATACCTTAGTACAAGCAACAGTAAATAATAAATAGAATAAAAAATTAATGATTTGGTCCCTGATGTGTTATGCATGACACGAGCAAATTACCAGTAATGGATGTGTGTGTGTAAGCGTGATGTTGTACAGTGATTTTGGTGGAACAACGCTTGGCTTAAAAGGGTTAACAGTGATGTAAGCAAGCACCTCTTGTGGTTGGTTCCAGTACAGATTTTAAGCCTTGCTCCCTTAATGTAAGTGAATGGGATTACATCCTGAATTAAAATAAAACTGAATCACTTTTCTAGGTGCTGAGTCCTAATGACTCACTTAGCTCTTACTGTGTTGTTTGCTCAAAAATTTAATGTTCCACGCTGTAGTGTATTTACATCGTTTTTTAATGTAAATGTCACGGCCCTTTTTTACTGTGTAGTGACAGTCATGGCAATATGGTGTAAAACTACCCTGAAATGTAAGTATGTACTGCCCCCTATCACCAGGAAACTACACACTGTCACTTTAATACAGATACACTTCTTACATATTCAGACTCTGTTAAAACTTCATTTTTTGGCCTAGATGCTTTTCTACAATAAACAAAAGCCACAAGATCTGCAGAAAATATGAGTTTAAAACAAAGCAACTGAAACACAGTAGACAGGGCCTAAGGTCCTGCAAAATGTATGAGATGGGAAATAAACCAATCTCTCATGGACTCTAATCATTTTCGAGCCCTTTTTAGTCCAACATAAACTATATAATAATGAAGCCATACAGGGCGACCGATACAACACAAACACATGAAATGTAACCCTACCCATAAGTTTTAAAGCAACAATGTCCACATTTCTACATTTAAATACACAGTAATGGCAATATTTCAATACTTGTGGCATAAAGGAATTTCCCCCTGAAGAGTGGAGAAGTGGAAAAGCCAGGCAAAGTGTACTAAAGTAAAAAAATAACTGTTTATCTGCTGTTTATCTTCCTGCAACTCCTTTATGTTTAGGAATATTAAGCAACTATCTGTAAACACTGGAGGCTTTGATGACCAAGAAATGAGAAATCAATGTCTGCCCCTTAATGGATTTCTCCCACTTACACCTGCTCACCCAAACCTCTAGTCTGACTGGTTCCCCATTCACCACATTAAACTTTAAAGAGTCATCATCATTAAATTATTGCAGATGATTACCAACTTAGCATTAACACTGGCGTGGTACGACGCTCTCATTTTTCACAGTCTGGCTTTTGTGCCGGACACCAAAGCACTTTTGCTCCGAGGCACTGGGAATGTAATTGTAACGGTAAAGGGCACGCTGTTATACTTGCAAAGAAGTCCGTGACCCATCCTAGTGACGTGAATATAAATAAAGTCATAAATGAAGTTACTTTCATACATCTCTAGCAGTGATAAATCTCCACCAGGCTAATCTTTTCCTTGATGTGTTCTCTGAATCTTTTATAACCACCTCTTATTTCGTCCTTCTTTATCAGACTTTCAGTGGTCACTTTTGCTCCTTTCCCATTACTCCTTCTGTGCTAGCTGTACAACTGTACTACCACCTCTGATCTAACCTGAGTGTGTCTGTTGTTCCTCCTTGACGTAAAGAGCCTGTCGTCTATTGTCGCCTTTTTCCAGGCGTAATGGGGGAATATGAGCCAAAAATAGAAGTTCATTTTCCAGATTCGATCCCAGCTGCAAAGGAATCCGTGGTGGAACTGGAATGTTTCGCTCTGGGAAAGTAAGTCAAGCTCATTGTATGTGTGGCATAAGCTGTAGCTTCCTTCATGCATAAATTAGAGTTATGCAAGCTGGTTTATTAGTCCTGGAGAGTTCAGAAGGAAAGCAACAAGACTTCCGTGATTCCTTATAGGTCTTTCACTTTTTATCCAAGAAGCTTTTACATTTCAATCTGAAAGTGCACAATACCAAGTTTTATGTATATGAAAAAAGCTTTGTTGTTGCAAGCTGGTTTAACACTCTATAGGGCCAACGGCCATATTTGATCACTTCGTTTTCTCAGATTTTCTGCATACAAATAAATATTTTTGAAAATTTTAACAAAAGAAACACACTTAAACAACCTGGGGTTGAAAATTTTAAATTTTAACTACTTCATGTGTGCCCTATAAAGGGCTCAAAACCATTCCTCAATCATCCCTTTTTTTGTGTCGTCAGTGTGTGTTGTCCTGGTCCACGTATAAGGATTTAGGGTCATATTCCCGGGGGTCTGGATTTGTGTTCTGACATGATATTCAACCAGGCCTGGGTTGCGATGAGAATTCGGCCTTGGAACCTATCCGTCCTGGCCTTGAGAGCAGGGAAGGGGGGTTGTGATGGCAACAGTGTCTCTGTCAGTGGGGGGGTGGGAAGTTCCCGGTACACCTGATGGCCAGTCCACCCCTGGATCCAACCTGGAATTGTATAATTTGGAGATTTCAAACCTGACATTTCCTTTGTTTAATGTTTTATTGTTCCTACCTTTATTAGGAGATCTGAGGTTTTAGGTTATCAAAACTTAAAATGGTCCTGAATCTTAACCCCAAACAGCTGCCCAACAATCCGCACCTTCAGCAATGTGAGTAAGACGTCCTCCGCATTAGCCTGACCAGCCAGCCCCATGCTTCCTTATGGGTCTGGGTCCTTATGGGCATTGGGTCTGGGAACTCTTCTATTTGAATAACCCCACCCCCTGAGAATTCTAACCGAGCCAATCAGTGCTGAGCAGCGTACGTCACACACCGCAACGCTCAGTTTCTCATAAACAACAAAGATGTCTGAAGCGGAGTTCGCTGCAGCTCTTTCCTCTGTTCTAGACGACTTGGACATGTCTTTAAAACCACAACAAGTAGAAGCGCTAAAAGCCTTTCTTCTAAAGACATTTGTTTGAGCCGTTACTGGACGCCATTTTTGACTACAGCTTAAAAAAAAACAGTGTCGCGTGATACAGTCGCCATTTCTGCCTTTTTTCTGATTGGTTATTTTTAAGCTGGCTAGTCCCGCCCCTCATGTGCCTCTCAGCCTCTGAGTAACCAGACTAGCTCTCTATGTAGAACTAAACAGCAGGCCAGGCTACTTCCACGTGGACTAGAACAACACATATCCAAATGAAATCCCAGTAAGAAAGATCCGATTTGTAAACTATCTTGAAATTAAACTGTGTTCTTGGTACTCCACACTGTTCTGTTTGATTGAAGAAGCCATCTCAGATGAGATGCAGAACATCTTCATGAAAACAAAGATGTCTAGTGTTCCTTTTCCTGAGCTTACTCGTACCGGCCTGGATAGCTATGAAGCATTGTTTCATGTAGTTTGATTGTGGAGAAGCAGAACAATAATCAGACTCATCAGTGCTTGAGAAGAAGGTCCAATATGAAAAGCCGGAGAAGCAGAAATCAAAGTTCTTTTCAGAGCATTTGAAATGTGAACGATCCCGGTTTGGTTTGTCAGAAACAACTCCCTGAGCTTTGGTCTCAGCTATTTTTCCTCTGCACTTAATCACACTTTGATCTCGGTGACTGACAGTTGAAATCCGTTTGTTCCTCCTTTGTAGCCCTGTCCCAGAAATAAGCTGGAGGAGAACCAGTGGTGTCCCGTTCCCCAGCAAAGTCAAAATGAAGAACTCCAACGCTGTCCTTGAAGTCCCTAATTTCCAACAGGAAGATGCAGGAACATACGAGTGCATAGCAGAGAATCGGCGGGGCAAAAATGTGGCACGGGGTCGAATTTCCTTCCATGGTAAGTGAGCCATTTCTAATTGGATGACAGTGAAAGCAGGAAGACATCGGGATGATTGTTACAGATGTGTACGGGAAACAGAGTACAGGTGATCAGCAGTGATCCTGTTCGTCCATGTGGGGCTCAATGTTGATATGAAATATTACAGCGGTAGAAGATCCTTTCCCAGCGATATTGATCTGAAATTAAATTTAACTTGTCTATCTTATTTTATAAAATGCCCAAATAGCTCCTCATTGTGAAATGGTTCAATACAAATAAGCTGAAGCTGGATTACATTCAGATTTTACTTTCTTAGGGGCTACGCCTCTCTGCTTGACACTCAGCGTTAACATGTTAGATTGTGTGTGTGTGTGTGTGTGTGTGGGTAAACCACCAAGTAGTTCCTGTTGGGGTTATTAGGAGCGAACAATTAGTAAGCTTCAACTTACTTTTGGATTCTTCAATAAATTCTGTAAATATGGGAATATTTACTGATTTATTAATTAATTAAGATATTCTTAGATATACGGGGCACCATTCCCCTTTTTCCGGGGAAAAATTGAATCCAAAACTCTTATCAGTCTTTCTTGAAGTTCGTAGAATCCTTGGAGCAGAGACTTCTCTTCGACACAACAAAGCTACTGGACACAAAAATCTGAATTTTATAACATTTAATTAACAATTTGTCAAATGAATAAACAGTGGAATAGATGAATAATAACCGTGTGATATGATTGAAGATGGATGTGTTTGCATGTGATGGAGGATGTATGAATGGGGTCCTTTGTTCTCACAAAGGAGTAGTGTGTGTGTGTGTGTGTGTGTGTGCGTGTGTATGGATTCAAAATGGAGTCTTGAATACAAGATGGCTGACCCCTTTGTCTGGCTAAAGTGTGGGTGGCAACTTGCACTTTAACTTCCAAAGCACTTAGAATCAGTAGTAACTTAACCTTAAATCACTCAAAACATTTCAAAAGATCATGAAACAACACAAAAGATTAATCACAAATTAATATCTTTTAGTTTCAGCCTGGCCATGACAGAAACCATTTTAAGATACCAAACAATGATCAATAAGCAGTTTATTCTTTCAAAATGACCCGACGGACGTGTTTGGGACGAAAGAGGAAAACACGAAGCTACTTTTTAAGCAATAGACGCGGTTTATTGCTTATTCGAGACTATAGAGGAAACGGGAGAAGAAAAGGAGAAAAAAAAATGAGTTTTCTGATCACCAAAGCAGCAAGGCGTCCCCCGCTGTTATGACTTGACGGTTCTCCGTTTTTCTCCGCAGTTTCCAGCGTCATCCGTCGGTTTGATGCTTTCTCCGTTGTTTGGCGTTCACGAGTGTTTCTCCACGGGCTGGACAGAGACAGCAAAGTTTCTTTCTGTGCTGAGTTATAACTTACAGCGTGCTTGATGGAGTTGTTGCTTTCCTCCGCAGTTCTGTGTCCTCAAACATCAGCTGGAGGGGAGCAGAAACGAGCAGATCTGATGGGCTTGCAGTTTAGTTTCCAGCAGTTCCGTGGGCTCAACTCGGGCACTTAGAGCTTCCGCGTGCTCAAGTTGTCGGAGCGTTGACAAGCGTGTCCTAACCGCCAGGTATCCTGGGCAAAAGAACGAGGTTTCTTTGTCTCTGCTGAAGATTTATGGTCTTAGTTTGCGGGAAAAGCTCCACGGCTTCCCGCACATGCGCAGAACGTGTTTCTGGTACTAGGCGGTGACATCACCCAATGCTTCCGTGTGCAAAGCATCATGGGAAATGAAGTTTCTTGGCACTGATGTGATTATTTGCTTTTCAGAGCAATTTAAGCACAGTCATTTTGGAGAAAATCACTGCATAGTAATTTCCTCATGAGGTCAGACCCTCAACATTCCCCCTTTTGGTTTCGGGGATCGCGCCCAAAGCTCGATCGTCGGAAGCACAGATGGGTTTGTTCCTCATGAACGTAGGTCGACTTGATTGTCGGAAGCACAGGTGGGTTTGTCCCTTAGGACGTTGGTCTCCTTGGACGCCTTTGTCTTGGATCCTGGCGCCTTTGGTCTTTGTCTTTGTCAGGCACAAAGAGGATAGGAAACGGGATAGTCCCCAACGCGCATAACGAGAAGAAGCCACTCACGCAGGTGGTACGCAATGATGATGTCGTCCATGCGAGAGGTAGTAGTGTAGAAGGAGGAAGGTCGGTGGGCGGTTAACTCCACGAGGGGACACAAAGGCATCTCACCGCCGGCCATACAGTTCAGTTTATGGATCACGCGGTGATGTACGAGGTCCATAGTTCGCAAACGCGCATTGACCTATGTGGTCCCAAGATTCCCCCCTTTTTTGGTCCAAAGGGTGGATCAGGACAGTCTTTGGGCTAAAACAAGGACCATAAAACTAAGAGGTACTACAATGTGCTGGTGCGTCAGACAGAGTCATTGACAGACTGAGCTGGGCCGGCACATAACCACTAGTCAATATGTGACCAAGTAAGAAAAAAAAAATACAGAAAACCCAAAAAAAAACATGTAACATATAACATCCAAGAAAATTCATAGCAACCTTGAGGTCTCATAAAATACATTCTTAGGTCATACATTCAGTGTGTAGCTTATAAAGAATGTGACATAATGCAACACTCAGATAAAAATGTGAGGTAGACTAAAGTGAGAACTACTCTTAGGGTTACAAAATAACAAAGAAAATGTTGCTCACCCCCTTTAGACAGGTGTGGTACATTCACGCTTGGAGTCTCCCCGAACGCGGTTACGAGGCACACCGTAGGTGAGCAAGTGCATCTTATCTTGGAGTTTCTTAACACGCCTGTAGGCGGACTAAGCCATCACGGCCGTGATGAGCCATCCCATCCCCAGGGCGACCAATGTGCAGATTAAAGTCGTATAATCTGTGTCAATGTAGCGTCTTGGGCGTCAAAGTAAGTTCACGCGGGTTTTGTGTGAACTTAACAAATTTGGTTCCTTCAATCAGTAATTGTTGGTCAATTTCTAAATCGAAGGCAAAGTTATAACCCTGGAAAGCGTCCATGATCTCAATCTCTGAGTCATGCTGTTCGAGGTTGAGGTGATGGAGTGTCAGGTTTCTAGTTCAAAGTGGAAATGCCTACCGTCCTTTCAAATACCAATGTTCAGCATCGACTTAAACCTATAGATGTGAGGTGTCACAATTATGGGAACGTTTAACAGGAAACCGAGTTCTAATTTTTTTTTCAACGTGAATGGGAATTGCACTACCTAGGCTGTACGCTAGGTGGATTTGTGAAAGGTGCACCGTAGAGGGGTAGCAGCTGTCAAGCTAACTTTGAGCAGGTCCAGTGGTACCAAGTACGGGGAAATACGACTTTCAACCAAGCTGTCCAGCGTGGAACTTACTTCCCTGAGCAGGTCCTGCATCAAATCTCTCACCACTCATGTGTACACAATATCCTGATGTATGGTTTCAGACAAAGTCTTGATTGCACGTAGAGATTCATTAATCAGAGCAGAATGTAGGTTGACAGTTACAAGAGTACCCTGTAAGGTTTTAGTAAGTACTTCCTGTTAGCGGTCTGGGAAGGAGTTTATCTTGGTTAGTGAAAGTGACGGCGGGGGGGGGGGGGGGCTGGGTCTTTGTCGGTTAGTACATGTTAGTGGGTTAAACGTGCACTTTCCCCCCCTTTCCATTTCCATGCATAGAACTATGTAGCGACTACGTCTACCTCCTGCGGGGAGTCTGGTCTCTGTACCCGCGGGGATGGTTTGACGTAGGGTTTGATTTGGTTTGCATGCACCCATTTGTAGACAGGCTCCTGTCTCGCTTTGGTGATGCGTAACCTGTATGCAACTGGAGAGAGTTTTGCCACGATCTCAAATGGTCCTGACCAGCAGGGCAGGAACTTCTTAGCTTTGCGTGCCGGTTGGGCGAACCGAAAGTAGAATACTTTGTCACCCACCTCGTATTCGCGGCTGGTTGTCTTTTGGTCGTAGTAGGCCTTAGCGCCTTCTACGTTGGTCTCCAGTTTCTTCTGAGCGTGCGCGAACGTAGCTCTGAGGTGTGTTTTCAAGTCTGCCACATACTGATGAGCGGTATAGGCAGTGGCAACACTGACATCCTCTGGGTGATACAGGAGGTGCAGTGGTAGAGTCATCAGTCTGCCGGTCATCATCTCAAAGGGCGTAACCCCTGTGGATCGCTGGGGAGTGGACCGTATGGCCATCAGGACCAGAGGGAGCTTGACGTCCCAGTCCTTCCCCGTGGAGCAGACGCACTTTTTGAGCATGGAGACGACCGTGCGGTTCATCCGTTCGACCTGTCCGGATGACTGTGGGTGATAGGGGAGGTGGAATCTCACTTCCACTCCCAGAAGTTCAAACAGGGACGTCATTACACTGGATGTGAAATGAGTTCCCCGGTCAGAGTCAATGCAGAGTGGAAGTCCCCATCGACTGAAAACGTGGTTAATCAGCAGTACAGCGGTTGTGACGGCTGTATCGTTTGGCGCTGGAAGGCATTCCACCCACTTTGTGAAACTGCAAGTTACAGTTAGCATATATTTGTTTCCTCTTGCCGATTTGGGAACCGGTCCAACCCAGTCGATCTGCAGGTGGGACCAAGGGAAGGTTATTCCCCTGCGTTGCAGTGGTGCTCTAGCAAGCGGCTGGGAGGGTTGAAACTGGGCACAGACGAGGCAGCCTTGGACATAGCTGTGTACGTCCTTGGACATCGACGGCCAATATGCTACTTCTGTCAGTGACGCGAGGGTAGCTTTTGCTCCGCGGTGACCTCCAACCGGAGTGTCGTGGGCGTAGGCAAGCATGACTCCTCTGTGGTCAAGTGGAACAACCCAGCGCGGCGGGCTGTGATCGTCACGCATGTAAACTAACAAATCGTTTTGTAGTTTCAGGTGCGCGAGTTGACGATGCAGGGTTACCAAATCTCGGCTTGCGCCAATAGGTGGTGACGGTTGTTCAGGCATCGGGCCCTTTTGGAGAAGCTCGCGGATGAGCTTCAGGTCAGGATCTTGTTCCTGCATGGTGAC